CAAAATACCTCAGAAACTCGAACAAATAGGCTTTAACAAGGCTTTAATAAGCTAAACAATAGAGGTACATGAGAAAATGTGTTCATAACTAATGAAAATAAATAATTAAATTGTATCCGTGCCGGYCTCGAACTGTGGTCTCCTGCTCTCTGGTCCAACACTCTACCCATTGCCCTATTGGAGACTTGTTGTGAAATGAGCTGCTCATTGCACAACAACAACCATGACAGCTCTTTATACTAAGGAGGTGGAGTCTCACCCAGGGGTTGCTAGGTAAGGGGCTGAACGCAGGTTCCGGTGGGTTGTCGTACGGCTTGTGACATCACAAAATGTCGTAAGTATAAAACTTGTCATTAATATACATTAAAAATACATTTACTTACAGTAAATATGCCCCTGGGTGCATTTTTTTGGTCCTAGGACTGTTTTTTTAAGAAGTACATATCCAAAGTTGAGTTAAAAAAAACCTTAAAAAAGTGAATTTTGCATAAAAGGCCCCCTTTAAGTACACAGCTGCAACTTTCTTGTTGTCTTTAGKTAACTTTGACCTGATTTCAAAATTTAGGATATCCTAAATGTACGTTTTTAACATAATTGCTGAAAATGACATGCAGGATTTTTAGACATTATATATTATCGTGGAGGTTGACATTATATTTATTTTTAATGCAACTTACCTACATCAAACTTCAGTGTGAACGCTCCATGGCCCTGAAGATGACATGACGTCACATTCAGCGCGCTGTTTACAGACGTAGCTAAACATGGATGCTACGTGTTAGCATGTCGATTCTGAAGTTGTTGCGCGATCAGAGCCGATTTAAAAAAATTATCTAAAACTAATATATCGATCCCGTAACTTTAGTATCCATACAGTCTAAAACCAATGTTACTATCATGTACCCTATTTCTGTGGATTGTCAGTCATGGAAATTTAAAAGAACAAAGACAAAGCGTCTGGAATATGTTATGTAGCTAAAGACGTGTAGAGTTTCAAGATTTAGGAAGATCAATCTGCTCACCTGTGCCTCGCTGAAGAAAAAGACATGAAATGACATTTCACACTGAGGTCACTTTTAAAAACATCAGACATGTTTTCGATTTAGTACCACATACTTAAAGGTAGTGATGAGCAAATGAAGCTTTTCTGAAGCACTGAAGCTTGCTTTGAAAAAGGGTTCATTACTCAAAGCTTTCAACACAGTTCTCTTTGGCTCCACCCTGTGGCCAAAAGTGTGAAAAGCTGCTTGAAACAACACAAAGTGAAGCGCTTCATCGCGAAGGAGTTGACAGCTTTGTTTCTGTTTGTTATCAGGTTATTGTGTTGCTTGATTAGATTTTCTTTTTTCTTTCTTTTTTTGTGGGTGAGAATAAAGTTATGGTTTATGGTTTATTATAAAT